CGGGCTCTGGTTGGACGGTCTCGGGCTCTGGCTGGACGGTCTCGGGCTCTGGCTGGACAGGGCTGGACGGAACCAGCGATGAAGATAGCTCGGGCTCGGTGGGGCTGGACGGAACCAGTGATGAGGAGAGCTCGGGCTCGGTGGGGCTGGACAGAACCAGTGATGAGGAGAGCTCGGGCTCGGAGGGGCTGGACGGAACCAGCGATGAAGATAGCTCGGGCTCGGTGGGGCTGGACGGAACCAGCGATGAGGAGAGCTCGGGCTCGGTGGGGCTGGACAGAACCAGTGATGAGGAGAGCTCGGGTTCGGCGGGGCTGGACGGAACCAGCGATGAGGAGAGCTCGGGCTCGGCGGGGCTGGACGGAACCAGCGATGAGGAGAGCTCGGGCTTTGGCTGGACAAGTGAGGAAGGAATAGGGCTGGTGTTCATGGCTGGAGATGGTGGTTGAGCGGCGACGTCCTCAACCTCACCAACGGTGAAGGTTGAGCCGCTCAACCACAGCACATGGTCCAGATAATCAGCGAAGGTCCCTGGAAACGCTGCCGCTGGGGCTTGCTGGTACAGATGATCATCTAAACCCAGCCAAAAGACTGACTCGAAGACGTCATCTGACCAACTTACCCCAGCGGAGAGCTCCAGGAACCTGACGACATAGTCCTCAATAGAGAAACCATCTTGGAAGATGTTGTGGAGCGTGAGAGCTGGGGTGAGGAGCGGTCCCATGCTGTCTCTACCAGGTCGTTCAATCTGTCACGCTGTGGAGCCGGCAGAAGGAACAGGAGGAGTCCAGATTCACACGAGTATAATATTTTAATTCAAGGTACAGACAGGAAGACAGGGAGACACCGGGTAACATGCAACATTGACCGACAAAGACTAACTGAACTGAACTGGACTAAATACAGGCAAGAATCAAACATAACGAGGTGCAAACAGGTGAGACAGATGAAACAGGACTCTGAACGGGAGGCTGATGAGGGAGTGAGTTCAGGTGTGCAGACAAGAGGATCATGGGAAGTGTAGTGAAGGAGACGCAGACAAGATGGTGCAGACACAGACTGTGACAATATTGTTGTTGATCTGTCACTAGTTTCGCTTACAGTAAAACATCGGCCCATTGAAAAATTTCTCAATGTGCATTTTCGACCTGCGTGTACAAATTACGTACGCTTACAAAAAAACGGGCGGCGCGCGCACTATTCTGGTGACGGAACTTGCATTACGCGCACTGTGCGCAGACTGTATCCTCTACGAGTCGTTTTTTATTTATACTTTTGCGTAGTTGTCTTTATCGATGTGCAATTACACATGTAGACCACTAGTAGGCAGTGTTCACGGGCATAGTGATGTTGTAACCCACAGTATCAAGGCAAAAGCCAAAGAAGCAGCTTGTTGTATGTTGTAGGTCGGAGAACCAGCAACAGTGATGGCAGCAAATAGACAGCAACTTTTGTTGCAGCATTGTTACATTTTTGGAGAGATGCACATCAGACTACATGTGCTATGCAGTCTACGACGTATCTATGCCATTCGACGCAGAAGTATAAATCAGCCTTAAGGGCTCATTTACACTTGGTATTAACATGTGACCTCTCTTCGGATGTCATTTACTCACCAGAAGATGAGTAAATGATGACAGAATTAAAATGTTTGAATGAATTATCATTAACTTTAAAGTCACAGACATTGGATGGATGGATGGATGGATGGATTCACACCTGTAGAACAATCCAAACAGTTTAATGAGTTAGTGGTTTTTCAAAACACTGCTAATCTTAATATACAAGCAATTTTCAGCTGCTGCTTTGTTTGCCCTACAGTGAGAGACTCTCTCCCACACCTCTTAAAACTTCAGAAACCCTCCTCACCAAACACCTTCTCATTTGCTCATACTGTGAAGGCAATCAGTGTTAGTTATGTCAGTAAATTAATACAGCTCATTGAAGCAGACATCTTCTCTGACGTTTGGTGCAGCATCTCGTTCTGTTGATCATCTGGAAGATTTCTTTGTAGGACGGGCCACAGAAGACCTCTCCGACGCACTGATGTTCTTGACTACATGCTCTCCTCAGATCCTCCCCCCTCCACAGCTTCACGACAAGCAAGTGTTGCCCTGAGGCGTGACGGTAGCACTTAACAGGCTTTTCTTCCTTTTCTAAAGAACAGATATGGCACTTATCCTAGTGAAACTGCAAGAATGGGGGAGTCAGAGTGCACAAGAGTGTGTACTGACCCAAATGACAGTCACGCTGTGGACAAGTTGTAAAGCTTTAAGTGGAGTCAGGACTTTAAGTAATTTGTTTTTCTGTGTTGTTTCACCTAAACCTGATCCATAATTGAACATCTGACTTTAACAATACAGTGGATGTATGAACATAATTATTTGAAATAAATTATATGATGATAATTTATATAATAATTTAAATGTACAGTGAACAGAGTTTGAATGAAAAAAAAGTGTTTTTGGTTGTTAAAGCTGCAGTTCGTAGCTTTTTGCTGATCCAAAATAAATTTTTGAGAAAATGCATAACCAGCCCAACATGACATCATGACTTTTGGGTAAACATACACGCCACTTTCAAGTCAAGTGGCGTGTTATCTATGTCTACGCCATTAAATGTCCGAGTGATTCCGCGTGTATGTACACGCCTTTAAATGTTCGAGCGAAACTAAGCAAAATGTAGATCTACATCTGGGAAGTAATATTTTTTTCCTAGGATGGTAGGGGAATACTCATAAATGGGATTAACCCCAGTGATGGGTAGGTTTAGGGATGGGGTTGGGGTAGGTCATATACAGTATCTATACATACAGTAATATAACGTTAAGTCAACGGCGTTCATAAACACGCTGAAAAGCGATTATGCGTGTTAATAGCACGTCAAAAATGGAAATACGAATTGCCGTGTCATACACACGCAATTTCAAGAGATCAGTCTGACCAGCCAGTGTTCAAAACTATCTGCTTGCCATAGCTTGATTGAAAACGGTAAGCTTGTAATAATGTTTTTAACTCCAGTACTGGTGGATTTCCGCAGGTGATTCGAGCATGTCTTTGCGTCATTACGTCTGTACATAAAGAAGGAGTCTCGGCTAGTAGGCTATATTGAGTCATTACATCACAAAAACGCGCAGGGATGCATCTTGTCGTCTATAGCATTGGGACAACACTGCACCTACTCCCACCTCTGACGCATCGACCTCCACCACGAACTGACGTGAAGAATCAGGGACGATGAGGATGGGGGCTGAAACAAAGTGGCCTTTCAGTTTGATAAACACAGCTTCTGCTGTGTCTGACTACCTGAACATGGTTCTGGGAGATGTCAAGGCAGTCAGAGGTGTGACTAGTTGGCTGAAGTTGCGAATAAAGTGGCGGTAGAAATTGGCGGACCCCAGAAACCTTTGCAGGGCCTTGGAGAATCTGGGCTTGGTCAATCTACCACAGCCTTAATCTTCTAAGGGTCCATCTGCATTCCTTCAGATGAAACGATGTACCCTAGGGAAGAAACAAACTGTACATGAAAATTGCATTTCTCCACCTTGACAAAAAGCCCATTCTCTAACAACCTCTGAAGCACTCGTTGGACATGTTGCACATGTTCCTGGAGAGAAGAAGAAAAAATCAATATGTCATCCAGGTAGAGATATACGAATTGATCGATCATATCTCGTAATGCGTCATTGACCAGTGTCTGGAAAACTGCTGGGGAGTTGGACAGCCCGAACGACATGACCAAATATTCAAAGTGCCCCCTGGGGGTGTTAAAAGCAGTTTTCCAGTCATCCCCCTCCCTAATGCAAACCAAATGATAAACATTACACAAATCCAGTTTTGTGAAGATGGACACTCCCTGCAACCTCTCGAAAGCTGAAGACATCAACGGCAAAGGATAAGTATTCTTGTTATTCAACCCTCAGTAATCAATACAAGGTCGCAGAGAACCATCCTTCTTCCCCACAAAAAAGAACCCCGCTCCCGCTGGAGAAGAAAAAAGAAGCAAATGAACTTGGTTGCTAGAGAATCAGAAATATATTTCTCTATAGCCGCCCTCTCTGGAATAAAAAAAGTGAATACAACTTGCCCTTAAGCGAAGACTTACCTGGCAGTAAATCTATTGCACAGTCATAGGGATAATGCGGAGGAAAAGAAGCAGCACGAGACTTACTGAACACCTCCTTCAGGTCTAGATACTCCGCGGGCATGTTAGATAAATCCCCTGCTTCCTTCTGAAAAACAGGCACAGACGAACAGGCAGACACGAGACAAGACTTCACAAGACTTCCACTCCAGCATAGATCTGGCATCATAGATGATGCCAGTCCACTCGGAGGTTTTGTCAGATGAGCCAAGAGTGTCCAAGGATGACGGGTGCAAGGGGTGAGTCCAGAATATAGAAGGAAATAATTTCAGAATGTGATGAAGTGGAGAAGAAAATGGTGGGGAGTTCTTGACCACTGAGTGTGTGAACCACAATCCTGTGTGAGGGGCTTGAGGGGAATCTGACATTTCTTTGCGAAAGTGTGGTCCATGAAATTACCTTCAGCCTCAGAGTCCAGAAGTGCTTGATAATCGTGCTGGTGAACTGACCATCTTAGTCTTACCGGGAGAAGTGTGGAGGTAGATGTAGTCGTGGATGAGGTCTTCCTGGCGGAGATCCCACCCGATAGTAGCCTCAAGTTTACTTCGGGCTTGGCCTTTTACTGGGCAGTTATACGCATAATGTCCTGCTCCTCCATAAAGACAAAGACCCTGGGATCTCTCTGCCTCTCCTTCTCCTCCCGGGAAAGCTGAGCTCGCCCTAACTGCATGGGTTTGTGATCGTAGTCCCTACCACGTCCCTGCCGCTGGATGGTGTATTGTCGACTCCTCCGAATTTGCGGGTGGACGGAGCTCGACGCTTGATCCTTGACAACCGGGCGTCCACCCGGAGGGCTAAATCAATGAGTCCGTTCAGTGTGGTAGGAAGATCCAGGGTGTAGATCTCCTTCGTGGTCAGCCAACCCAACCCAAGCAGGAACATGTCCCATAGCGCCTCCTCGTTTCATCCACACTCTGCGGCCAAGGTCCGGAATTGAATTGAGAAATCGGAAACCGATCTCTCTCCTTGACGTAGTTCTGCTAATGCTCTGGCTGCCTCTCTCCCAGAGTCAGCTCGGTCGAAAACCTGTCTCATCTCGACGGCAACAAGTTTCTGGAACGAGTTACAACATGGGTTCTGGTTCTCTCATGCCGCTGTTCCCCATAGCGCCGCTTTCCCAGTCAACAAAGTAAATACAAAAGCCATTTTTGCCTGTTCTGTGTTGAAAGTATGAGGTTGAAGTGCGAAGTGCATTGAGCAGTGTGTCAGAAACACTATACAATGAGACGGTTCACCTGAATAGGCCTCTGGGACTGGTAGGCGGGACTCAGACTGGGAGGGGTTCTCTGGTAGTGTGAGGGGAATGGCTGGTGTGGGTAGCTCAGTGGGAGCTTGTAGTCGTTGGATCTGCTGGGTGAGCTCGGACACCTGCAGCACCAGGGTCGGGATCAGGTAATGACTTACATTCATGCCCACTACACACGTGCACTCATACAACAACATAAACACAAGACTAGAAGGACACAGTCAGTACACCCACCGTGACAATTACATGCAGTCACACAATGCTGACGTTGTCAACATTACAATTTGAGAACAAAGTATAATTTGCACGGTTTTGCGTGATGATAAGCGATTGTTGGATTTAATCAGCGAGATTTACTGCAATGTCAGAACCAGAACAAAAGTGGATGTTACTTGTTCAGATGACATTTTCCAGTAAAAATTATTATGTTAGTCATACTTCCAAAAATAATAATCTGTGATTCTGGAGGCACATGCACGCGTAGGGGAGTGCTATTTGTCGGATTTCGTTACAACACCGGTGCAGTGACTGTCAGCTGCACACTCTCCTCAAAAACATTGTGTTCATCCGCATCGAAGTACAAATCACGTAAAGTTATAAGCACGTAAGATAATTCAACGAATGACTGCAATTGCAGATTTAGAACAGAGATGGCGACAAAGAGGAAAAACTGCGGACTGCAGCTTTAATGAAATTACCAACTGAAGTATTAGATAAATGCTATGATTACAAAAAGTCATACAGATTTACAATGTCATGAAGATTAGAAAATGATGGCAGAATTTTGAGTGAACAATAGACCCATCAGTCAATATATAATATTTAAATATAATTTATTAATGTATAATCTAGAATGTGGATGGATGGATCGACGGACGGACCAGACAGACAGACAGACAGACAGACAGACAGACAGACAGACAGACAGACAGACAGACAGACAGACAGACAGACAGACAGACAGACAGACAGATAGATAGATAGATAGATAGATAGATAGATAGATAGATAGATAGCCTAAAGTTACATTCACTTTTGACCCTTTAGCAGACAACCAGTTTTTTGGTTTGCGCTTCGGCTCTTCTCCTCTGATGTGGATTTTAATGGACAAATAAATAACATTTGGTTTGTTTTTTACAAATGGCGATTCCCTATAATTTTTCTGGTTCGTTGTGACAACAAACCTTCAGCTTTACACACTCTGTGTACGGAAGCGATGACACACGTGCAATTTCCCGCGATATCCGTCCCGACAGCTTTAAAATACCTTTAGGACAAATTGTTTTTTGGTAACGGCTGGAATTCTTTGTAGTCTTTCATATATATATAAGCTACAGGCCTATTTCTTAGTATACCAACTAATGAAAGTGTTAATCAATTAATCACCCCCCTGCTGGTGCACGGGGCAAACGCAGTCTCATAATGGTGTGCTTTGCATAAGTTTATTTTGTCAAGAGCCCTCTCACGAGTTTGCCCATATGTTCCCCACACCCTCGTGCGCGCGCGGGTCTGATGTAGTTTAAATGACACGCGTGTTTTATTGCACTGGCTGCATGCTGTCATTCTTCATCACCACAGCCACTTGTGTAATCAGTGAATAGCTCGCAGTGTGTGAGTGCGTCCAGCTGCACTAAGGTGAGAAGCAGAGGGAGGGGTTTAAACTTGCCCGATGCGCTGGGAGCTGAATGACTGTCATCTCTCTCTCTCTCTCTCTCTCTCTCTCTCTCTCTCTCTCTCTCTCTCTCTCTCTCTCTCTCTCTCTCTCTCTCTCTCTCTCTCTATCTATCTCTATCTCTCTCGGGTTTATATGTGGATTTCTCCTGCTCCACAGCAGATCTTTGCGCTCGGACTGGAGGTGTCGTACAGGAGCCCCGGCTCTCTCTCTCTTCTACCGGACAGGACACCCGTGAGTTTGAGCATGGCAGACTCCTACTAAAGCCATCACGGAGAGATACGCTTATATACCGACTATGGCTGTGGACGGTAAGCTCGCTGGTTTTTATTTACTACGTTCAGTAAACCACTTAAATTATTTATTTTATTCATACTGCAGCCACATGCTACCATGGTCCTTTTATTTACAGGGTGGCGTTACGCATACAGACAATATTTATGACTTTAAACGTTGACTGAATGATTCTAGACTATACAGGATTGAGGACTAATATTTTGGTGTACTATAGCCTAATACCTACTATACTATAAATTAACTCTTTACATTACACTGTTTACACAACATAGTGCTTTTTACTAATGTCCTGTAGCATAGGCTACTAAAGTATAGGACTAAAACTGTAAAGGCTATATCCCTAATAACATAATATTTTAACATTGTCTTTTATTTATTTATTTTTTTTAATTTCCAGCTATTTGCCAAAGTTGTAACTTGGATTTCGTCATCAGTAGTTAAATGAAGAGTTGTTAAAACTATATATATATATATATAAATACTGTAGTCAAGTAGCTAACATTTATGATTACACTTTATTTTAAGATGTCCATGTTACAGTGTAATTATACATTTACATACTAAATACTTTAATAATAAATAATACATGTAGCATAGTCACTATAGGGTTTGGATTAGGGTTACTTGCATGCAATTATGCACTACAATAACTACATGTAATGTGTAAAAAGCCATATTTACTATAGTAAATGCTTGTACTACAGAGTATTATACGTACTTTTTTGGTGCACCCTGTGATGCTGTTAATATTTTTTTCTGAATGCCATTTGCAAGTTTAGGTCAGAAAATTAATAATTCGTGCAGGTGTTTTTTAAATGTTTATTTTCCAGATGTATTTGTGCCCACATGTTGACAATGACATTGTGCTCAAATCGCTGAAGGGAATGTCATATAGAGTTCATGGGTTCACAGCTGGACATAAACATAAAGTTTACTTGACAACTTGCGTGATAAATGAAAATATTCACACACATACTCTCGAGGGCATTCATGAGAAATATATGATTTCCCTTGGCCCCAGGCAATTGTTCATAATCAAAGCTATATCTGCAGCGCTCAGCGTGGTGCTGAAACGGACAGCAAAGCCATGCCTCACTTTAACCTGCACTTCTTCGTATTAAATGTCCTTTTCCTAATTCCCTCTCCTACCACACGTGTGATTCAGTAACATAAAAGTACAGTTTGTGCCCAAAATAGGATGTTCTGTACATAGAAACAAATTGCATAATCATAAAGCCCCCCTCAAGGAAAGTTAAATCATTGTTTATTCAAACCGTTTTTTTTTATCCAATTAAAAGCTTGTTTTAATCCGTGTTGTATTCTGTGTGCAGAATATTATTTAAGAACGTTTTTCTACGCCACCCTAAGAGAAAGTCTGATATGTGTGTGAGTACACAAGCGGTTTATATAGAGGCCGCTTATATTTGCATTAGATAACTGAATTACACACTGATTGCTTGCTTTAATATCTTCTATTGCACAGATATTGCCGTATCATTCTCCTGGTACAGCACAGTTATTACTTGGCGAGGTTTCATTTCATACAGGCTGTAATAAAAACGTTTCCAGAATAGCAGTGGTTTCTGATTCACATAAAGCATGTTTGTGTCACTGCTCATATAAAGCTTCATTAGATCTGGAGAGGCACAGATGTTGGGTTAACCCCCTCTCGCCCTGTTTCACACACCCTACAGCTCTCAACCAATCCCAGCATGCAGCGGAAGGACTGGGCTGTTTTCCTGCCACCTAAGGGAACACCAATGCATTAAGTGCATGGACAAATGCGTGTCACTCATTCATGCATACAGATGGATTAGAAATGCTAGACCTACAAGCCTCACTCACGGTTTCTAACCGCACACGCAAGTGTAAAAAAAAAATTGCAATGGAGAGCGTGAAAGAGCAGAGGCGATAAAAAGAGAGTAATTTCTGGTTCTGTTTCGCTCGGATTGACATGCAGGGGTTGTAGGGAGTGTGTATTTTGTCTCGATGTGTGTGTTTCCATGCTTGACCAGTCTGTCTACACCATTGACTGTTTTAATCTTTCGGTCTATTCTTTTACGTCTAATCGCTGAGATATGAGCAGCTTTTCCATGGCATGTCATCTTAGTTTTCACTTGTTCCGTCAGTTTATAAAGCTTGTAAAAACTCTTATAATGGATGTCTGTGGGGAGATGCAGTCTGGAGGATTTAAAGGGCAGACATTTGAAGCTGGTGTGGCATAATCCTTATTTTAATTCTGACATACACAGTGTGTGTTATTTAAGCTATAAAGTTGTTTATCCCTTACATTATGCCAATTTGACCCGCAACACAAAATTTAAGATGCTAAAACGGACAGAATGCTCCTGTTTTTCTTGATATAGTCGTGATGTTGCTCATCACAGTTTGGCACAGGCATAAAAGCCAACCAATCAGGTTGTGAACATACCCCTATGCCTTTAGGTTTGGGATCTTTATGTTCAGTGTTAAAATGCCAATGTGAATGCTAAGCGGACCAAGACTAAATGTTTTTTTTTGGTCCGGACCAAATGAACCAAGCGAACTGAACTATAGACCATTTCGCGAGATGTAAACAACACTGGTCCAGAAGCACTTCCTGTTTCAGTTTTTTAACACTATATAAACGCTGGGATAAAGTACAACCAACGGAGCTTATACAACTGAATCAAAAAGTTAAACAAACATCTTTAAGATGTTTTCTTTACATTTGAAATTAAGAAACCATTTACAAACTGAAACAGGAAGTGCTTCTGGACCAGTGTTGTTTACATCTTGTAAAATGGTCTATAAGGCTGAATCCCAATTCACCCCTTGGCCCTACCCCTTGTTTTCGAGTGTACCCCTTGGCCCTTAAAACGGAGTTACAAGGGCCAAGGGGTTGAAATATTCCCCTACGAAATGGAACAACCCTTCATGAACCCGATACGTCATCAGTCGTCGGCGATGGCTTTGCCGTTACAGAGTTTGTACAGGATTTCTCCATGACAACAACTGACAATCAGCGCAGCTGCTCTTAACTTTGAAAACATTATAACATCCCTTCCTCGAAATGTATGTCTTTTCTGATCGGAAAGGTAATTTATTATACCATTTCTTAATTTAAACGTTTGCGATCCATCTCGCCAGTGATTTCCGATGCATTCCGTAAACTTTTCTCGCAGCCCTCCGTTTGGAGCGTGCCTCTGAAAAATCTCAGTTTCGAGGGCTATGTAGCCCTACCCCTTCGCCTTACCCCTCGATCTCAAGAAGAATCGGGACACCCTACCCCTAGACGTGAACTCACAAAACGGGGTAGGCGAGGGGTAGGGCCAAGGGGTGAATTGGGATTGAGCCTAAGTGTGAACACACCCTTACTAAGGCCCCGTTCACATTACTGCGTTTTTGTATAAAAACTGAGAATTAAAACAAATATGATCTCCGTCCACACCAGCGTTTTATCTGTGCATTAGAATTGATCTGCGTCCACATTAAAGTGACTGAAAATGGGGATCACGTGACCATTCACCAACACTGGGCATGCGCATGCCGGTTTAAACAGGAAACTGGTCATGTGATGGGTGGCTGACGAATCAGGGAAGGACACGTCATGACTGATGACACCCAATCATAGAGCCGAGCATGAGCTTCTGTATCATCGTTTCTAAATTCCTCCAGAGAATGTCTAATTGAAGAGAATTGGCACTGGCTGGTTACTTCCGGGTTCTGGAATGGCTGCAGTAACACGTCTCTGTCCATGTGAGGGCGCTCGCGGTCGAGTACAGAATGAATGGGAGTCAATGGGGTTTCACCCCCAGAAATCCACTTTCTCAGGATGTCATTTTTTGTCAAGTAATTTGAAAGTTGCATTCAAAAGGGAGGGCTAAGAAAACACACTCAGCTGAAAATTGCATTTTTAAGTTCACTTATCTGTTCTAAAAATCCGTTCAAAAATGTGATGACGTCACACAATAGCAGAATGCTAGCGTGTTCCGGCCAACAACAGCCTAACCTGTAAGAAATCAAAAGGACATAAGTACTCGTTCATTCGACTTTTGGCCTATAATCTATATTGAACTTGCGGAATCAACAATAAAATCTATTTTGATTTAACGACAAGCAGGTGAAAGAGACACATTTCGCCGTTTAGCCCCCATAGACTCCCATTCATTCTGCACTCGCCTGCAATCACCTCCAGTGGAATTCTAATGGAACTGCAACCAAGGTGATACACAATAGGGCTTATAGGAAGTGCCAAGGCTCTCCGTTAGACGGGCTCTGATTCCTCCATTTTGTCCGGTCTTCACTTCATGATTCAAAACGCTAAACGGAGCTGCAGCGTTTCTAAACTTCTCCGTTTTAGGTCTTCGTTTTTTTCTGTTTTAGTCTGGACTAAAAACTAAATGGGAGGTGCAAACGTAGCAAAAGGTCTCAGTTTTTAAACGAAAACGCAGTAGTGTGGACGGGGGCCTAAAGTTTGCGATAGTCAGGCCCTGTTTACACGAGAGCACTCGCGGGTGAAAACGTAAAAATATTTTATCGGATGTGCCTTTCGTTTACACAGCGATGGCGTTTTGGGTGCTTAAAAACACAAAAAAGTGAAACCACCCTCCAGAGTGGAAATCTTAAAAACGCTCCACCGCTGCGTTCCCGTGTAAAGGGTAAAAACGCAAAAAGTCTGCTTGACACTGAAGGTTGTACGGAGGCGTGCGGACTTGGTGTTGTTGTGTGGCAGTGCTCCACATTGCCACCTAGCTGCCTGGAGTGTATAGTACATTGAATTTCACACACTTTTGCGTCATCATGCGGATTTCCCACCCAAAACGCTCGTCTAAACGCAGAATAAAAAGTGATAACGCAACGCCACTTTTGCGTTTTCTCTTCAGAATCGTTTCCGTGTAAACATAGCCTCAATTTACTGGTATTTACACTCCATTATTGTCTTAACCAATTTCGCACTTGAGATTTTGACATGACTAGAATTTGCCCATTGTCAGCAGTGTAACACCTGTGGTTTATCCATGTGGGCCATAAA